TGAAAACAATGCATGGAGACGCTACAACTTCCAGTAAAGACGTGACAGCTATGGCAGTGAAAAAGAAATTTAAGGGTCAAAAGTTGAATTTAACGTTGATCGTGTATAGAAAGTTAGACAGATTGAAGAATGTATACTTATCCAAATCTATAGCTGATCGAACCCAACTTAACGCAACCGGATATGAAATGTACCGGTTACGGTGTAAAAACAGTTTAAGAGGAGATACTTGCTTGATAGCTAGATATTTGGAGGTAAACCTGATTTTATGGATATGTATGCAAAATGTGTACATTACAACTACCCGCCTCATAGACCAGATTTAACTAAAAGGTCAAGTATTTTCCAGGCGTCGTATCTAGGGATTTTAAGTGCTGAGGAAAGATGAGCGTGGGCGTCCACGTTTTGCAGCACAGTGCTGTTCATTGCATCAGTATGCGGACTTAATTTAGCATTGTTGTTTAATAGTTTTAAAAAAACATTTATAGAGATTACTTGAAAGACTAAAAGCGGAAGGTCATCCTTAATCTATACAGATGTATAATCACAGAAATACCTATAAAAACTGCAGAGCTTTTCTCTTATTCGACCTTTACCGATTCCGGAACATATCTAACCTTACCTGAAGAGAATTTAGGGAGCATTGTGCGAATATGTACGCAAAAACTACTAAACAGATATAGATGAAATTTGACACACGATTAAATCATGACCTGGATTAACGCATAGAATCTCTAAATCTCAATCTTTTGATAACAAGTACATCTTGTGAACGAAAACTTTCTAATCGAACTACCAAATAGAATGACTATGAAATTCTTAATTGGCAAATATTTTTTTCAAATAGTCACGTAATGATACACTGTTATCGTATAATTGAATCTGTTCAATATCATTAACTGACAGATTTGATGTATCATTGGTGATTGGACAATACTGGCATTTCGTATGGGAAATTCTAGAATTGTGTTCCGTGGGGAAATCTTATCTCCATCACTATAATGATGAGCGACCTTAATTCCATTATATTGTAAATGGGAAACTTTTTGTTGTTTCTTTGTGCAAAAACTTCTGTGCCAATTTTGATGAAATGTGACATATTAAATGAAGACGTAAGTTGAAGACATAAAACCAATCCAATATAATCATCATTACGTATACCATCGTTACGTATACCATTCCAAATACCAATAACTTTCCTTTTCAAAGACCAATCAAACATTTTAAAACAAATTGAATAACGTGTACCCGTACAACAAAACGTCTCAATCTTACCTAACGAAAAATTTTCATTCGATTAATAAACAAACAAATCGATACATAACCTCTCGATTTCGCGAGTCGTTTCAAATTAACGTGCAAACGATACAAGACCCAATTCCTTTTATAACAAGGTTTAAAATAAACAAATGTAGTACGTTGCGTAAGGTACGCCGGGATCCCCTTGACACGCTTATGTCCAAGTCAGATTCGTACATAGAATCGAGTCAATTAGTCATAGTATTGATGTATGATAGTTTGGCGATAAATCTTTCTTTAAGGCCGTTGAGATTGTGGAGAAAGTTTTTTAAGACAATAGCGTGCTTGAGAGCAGGCATACTCATGGCAAAAACGTTTCTTACGAAGCTTCCAGTATAAATAATAATCATTGACCTGAAGCTGTGACCTCATGGAAACCTCATGGACCATCAGGTGACGACAGACAGTCTAATGGACAGATGGTCATCGGTTTAAAGGTCAAAAGAACATAATCGTTATCAACGAACCTGGATGCGAATGATTTAAAATAACTAGCGATGTACAACTTTAAAATCAAATAAGCGATTTAACTTTACAAGATTACCCAGATAGAAACCAGTAGAACAAAAACAGACAAACTTACAACACATGCAAGACAATCATAGTTCACTAGAAACTTTCGCTACAAAATATTCCATTCTGTATTCCCTACCAGACTCTGGCTACTCTAACTTAGTTTCGTGAGCACAAGTTCTACACACATTAGATTTGTTAAAAACGGTGTTGAGGACAATTGTAAGGGTTTCTTATACATTAAGGTTAATGTTTATTGATCCTCAGGGATTTTTCAAAGGTAAATAGATAGTGCTTTCTTTGTTGGTGCTAAATCTTATAAAGGACGTTTGCGACGATTGTGTCCAAAATATTCTTTATAAGCTTATTTTTAAAATCACTATAAAACGAGCTGTTTACCACAATTATGATAAGGTAATGAAAACAAGAAGCTTAATTACTGGAAGAAAGAATAATATCCAAATCTCACAGCAATTTATAAAAGATAAGAAACATTAACCAAAGAAAAATGATGACATTACAAAATGAAACACAATTGAAACAGCAACCAACCAAGAGGCATGTCCCAAAAACAATCTGCAAAATGTAACAGGAGTAGAACCAATAGGGGTAAGTCCAGAAAAAGCCAACGAAATGACTATAGTTGAAACAACTAAACCAGTTGTAGCCAGACGAATTAATCCATCTAATAGAATTTCAAATCGTCCGTGTTATTTCTAACGGCATCTGAACATCGAGAGCCATGTTAGCTGCATTTAAAATTAAAAATACATCGATTGCATCTTTACATTTGACCATCTGTATAGAAGTGATCAATCTATTGATCAAGCCCTGACTTATGTAATTCATTTCGCTTCTCATCGTTGAGACAAACTGTTAGTTCAAGACATTCTTAAATTCTGTTTGACATTGACCAAAAATTGCTTACTTCTCACAATTTCTTTAGAGCTTTTATGTCATGTATTAATTACCTAATCATCAAATTTGTATAGGCCTGCCTAATCCATCTTTGGAAATAATAAAAGACCTTGAACTCATTAGTAACATACTACAACGTGAGTCTTTGTATGGGAATCCTTTCGACACACTCGAAATACCTTTACAAACAGCACAAGACACATCCCCTACCACCATCTCTCGCATAGCAACACACCCCTCCTTACATAAAGATTCGACTAGCGATCGAGGTTGGCATGTCAACTCGGTCCGTCGACCTCAGTTGCGTACCCTAACCTTCGAGTTACACAACAGGATCAGGTGAAAGACCTGAAGGTCTATGCCTCGACTTTGCGAAAGGACTCCACGCCCCGGTCACATTGGACTATCGATTCAGACTGAAAACGTCTATTACATTTGTTCCTTTTTTTGGGATATAATTTTCCTTAGGATTGAGCTGACAGGGGATTAAATTAGACGGTTAATGTGAAAAGACTACATTTTATGTTTAGAATATAACCTCCTTGATTTGAAATCAACCGCAGATTTTCAAAGCATGATTGGTTGCCAAATTACAACATTATTAACCATATTTTCGTGGTAAAGACAATGCTATTTTAATAAGCACTACAGGTAGATAAGAAATCAATCTATATTTTAATACAATTACATATGATTAATTCCGGACATGTCCGAACGTGTCTAGCTAATCAAAAGAACGTCGACAGCGAAACAAAGAAACTTGACAAATGGTAACATTGATTGTAAGATAATTTATCTGAACAAGTTGGGCATCATTGAGATCATTTATAAAACTACGAGTGATATAGGTCAAACCACATATACCAAATCAAATCCGACCTCCTTAGTAAGTTCGAGTACACCACATAAAATACACGAGCAAAGAATAATTATATTACTTGAAAAAGTACACAAAAGGTTTTCATAGAAGCGCTAACGTCGCGTCCATTAGCCTAATTATTTTCATGTTTGCGAATGAAAATATTAATAGAAATTAAAAGGAGACGACTTTAAATTAATACTTGAGCATTAACTTTAGTATGACCTTGGTTAAAATATCTGAATAGCGTGTTGTAATTCTGCTATACTTTTAGTATAAGACATTCTTAAACAACTTATGACAACAGTATCCTAGCAGATTTGATAAAGTTTAAAGTATTTAATTTACCATAAAGGTCCTAAGGAATCATTGAGACCGCAACTAGTAATAAAACTTAGCCATTGAAAATGTTCAGTAGTTTCATATTTGCTTACACGTGGAAGACTTCATTTAAATAACGCATAGCCTATAATTGGTTCGTTGCCATCTGAACGTGCACTGGCTACAAAACCTTTACTCTAGTTAATTATTATTATTACATGGGCTGTTATTAATGGCCTTTAGGTGAAAACAACCGAAGACAGTGTTCTTTGTAAATGTATGCTTTGCCTATTATGTGGTAATATGTCCAATTCTCTAGTCAGTCAGTTTAGAAAGTCCTTAACATAAGTAATGGTCTTGCCTATGTTAGATAAATTATATCTTTCAAAAAGAATTTCTACAACTACCGATATCAATTGAAATTGGACTGTTTACAAGAAACTTTGCAATTCGAAATTAACATCCTCACAACTAAGCAATATAGCACTGAAGCAAGCATTTCTGCGCAATACGCCATTTTAATTCAATTACTTTACTCTGTAAACGTTTCAGAGACCTCAACTGAACCGAAAGTTAGTGCGAACATTATTAAATCATACTGGTATGGAGTATCTATTACTGTAATTAAGATATTCGACCTACTCAAATTAATAGGTTTGTATAAAATGTTAATTAAACATCTTTTGAAGGCAATCGTTGAACAAATTGTAATAACAGTGTTCGTTTTAACTAATCTTGTCGAATAAAGCCTAAAGCTATGATTAGAGTAATATTATGTTAAAATTTAAAAATTGTGGAATTTTATGGAAGCCAGCCACGTGTCCGATTTTGGTGAAACCAACAAAGATATTAACTAGTATTTGAGAGCTTAGCTTGGCTTAGCTTAAGCGTAAGTATATCTTCAAGCAAAATATTGATAGTTTGATACATTAAAAACACTAAAAAGGATAGAAGTTTATACAAAACCTTCATTACATCGGGATTAATTGATTGGCTACAAAATTGTAAGGGAAACAATATATTTGCTTTCGACATATCCTTCCTGATAACTTAATAAATAAAATTCCAAAGGTAAATCTACCGTACTCACCGAGAATAAGGTGTAATTTTGCGTCGGTTTGGAACGCATAGTGGAGAGTCACCAGGAAAGGGCAAGCCCTCACAGCTTCCAAGACCTGTTGAATTCATTCTATTTTACTGACTGCCTTTGAATTTGCTATTCGATATAATTCAAACACAAATAACCCAATACAGAACCCTGGGGCATTCCGGAATGATAATGTTATTTTTAAAAAGGTAACTATTTTATTTTTTATCTTCCATGACTTAGATAGCTTAGCGAAGCCATGTTTTAAGTTTATAAAAACGCTCTGAGCGTTTACCTTCAGGACTTTTATATAATTTACAAGAATATTACAAAAATTTACTTAAAAGCTCTTGCTCTGATGCTTTTCAGAAATTCCGAAACAGCTTCTTTAAGAATAAGAGCATATTTTTAATTAAATTTTTGTTACTATCTGGTGTTACTTTATTTATTAAACAAGAGCTTTAGTTTATCAACAAATAAATTTAGTAAATAATATAATGATTATTTACCTGTCTTTCAGTCCTTGTGTGTTCTGCAGTCTTCAATTTTTGAACTATTGATGCCTTTTTTAGAACCTTCATGGCATACAACTTGCCTTCGTCGATTCCGCATCTTTTTCTAACTAGAAACACTTTGCCGTACGCTGAAACAATACAGAGAATAAAATTAGATATGTAAGAAGTAAAGAATAAACTGACCATTTTATTTGCAATGAATAGTAAACTATATATTTGCCACATTAAAAGTGTATAACGTTAATAAAATAAGAAAAATCTCAATAATCTGACGTAATAATATCCACATTGAATGTACAAGTAATTTTAAACATTTAATCCAGATTGAGATTAATTTCATTGGATCGCCGAGAGCCACGTGGAATCGTTCATCGTAATTGAGTTACCATCGCAGTTAAACGAGTAATTGTTAGAGATAACACAGTTTAGTTTGAACTGAAACTAGAAATCCTTGTTAGAACAGAAAAACTAATCTAGAATTTAAATTAAACTTGTATTAACTTTATATTGTAGTCTGGGAAATAGTGTAATCAATGTAAGGGGAATTGAGTCCTATGCATTTTTATAATAAGTTTGTTTTGGTTAGTTTACGCCACGCCATCAGTTTCTTTGTTATTTGTGTTAATGCGTGGGGGGTAATTTTCTTTTTCTTTCCTCATACTTGAGTATGCTCCTACGTCGGGTCACGTCACCAACAGAGCTCCGTTAAGTATTACGAGAAAATGTTATTATTATAATTGTGAACAATAGCGTTTTATAGGTCACTCTCATGTTACAAGTGGGTTTACTTATGAACATAACGAGATAAAGATAGGCGCATAGTAGACGTTTGCAGTTAGCGTAATCTTTTATTGGCGAGTTTATTTTCATTAATAATGATGTGGTTTTCATGCCTTATATGTTCTATTATGTTATTGATCACTCAGGCTGGTTAGTAGATGACTGTAGCTATAATTGTGAAATTTTACAAACATCGTATTTTCCGTACTAGAAAGAAGAATAAAACAGCCGTTTAAAACTAAAGCAACACCAATAATCCACTACCAAGAACCCAGAATAACAAGGAATTAAGAAAGAAGGATAACCTTGACAGAATGAAAATCAACAGATGAACAGACGTCTCCAATACTCAGATGTCCTACTCGATACACGTACCAAGAAGCAAACGACCATTGTTCGCAATTTTACTGGCAGAAAAATAAAAGAAATGCGTAAACATTTCGAAGCTGTTTCCTTTCCGTTTTTAACAATGTTGTTATGGGAAGTGGCCACTTCGGCAGCTAAGGATAACAATGGGGCAATGCAAAATAATGATTAGATAGAAACGGAAGGACGAGATTGCGACATCAAGGGCTATGGGAACAAGTTCTGGTTACAATGACATAATTAAAGATAATGTAATAGAAGACAACTGGAAAATACGAGGGCTTTCCTGGTTATTAAAAAAAGGGAAATTAATAATCGCAAGCACGATCTACATACTTGAAATCTTATACCGTCCTGTTTTTATTTTTTTGAAAGAACATAAGTACCTATGAGAATTTGACCACCACATGCTAAACAGATTCAAATTTTAGGGGTATTAACAACAAATAATCAAATAGGGCTTAAACAAACCTAGTATAAATTAAGATTACTTACAATTAATCATCCCTCTTATTTGTACGAGTTATAAGCTCTCGCTATCCAGAGTCCATCCTTCTAATCTGCAAACCAACTACCAAAACCCAATCTCTACGACTGCAGCGTCAGTTGCCCTACTTACATGCTTCATGTTATTCTAATCACATAACTTAAAATTTGTGTTAAATATTGTGGTAGAACTATTAGATTAATTGTTCGATGACGGTCGTGTGAAAGACAATGATAATAAAAACATGGAATAGGTTTGTAGATGTAGATGGTTTGAATTCCGTGAAAGGTAAGCAGCGAGAAATGAATTCATATGAATTTTAAAGGAATAATCATTATTCCTAATGAGTAGCTTAATAAAGAAAAATTGAGTTATTAGAACCACTAATGAAGCTCGCACCAGAATGTTGTCCGACCTGTTATAATAAGCCGAACGCATACATAAAGCGAATGGCGCCAACATAATGCATCGAACGCACTAATGTGTTAACCTGTTCTAATGGATTAATTCAAATTGCCACATTATGTCAGAAAATGAGAAAATACTGATGCTAATAAAGTAGAAATATGTCAAAGAGTAAATTGATGATCGAAAGTATGGTTTCTGAACAAAAAAACTATTGGTGTAAAGGATTTAGAAAAGATGTTGTTTTTGAAAGTCTCTCAAACTCTAAAAATGCACTGAAATAATATTTATAGACTGTTTCCAAAACAACAAAACATTACATACTAACAGGATTTCGATAATCCATTACTGGGAAGGGACCATAACAATCGGATCAAAATGAAGGTAAAAATATACATTTTTTCCGTTCATTATTTATTATGTAAACAGTATTCTATTTTGGTTACTGGCGTACTGTGTAATATTTTGTTTATTTTATGGTCTTCGAAAAGCTTATTCACTTTGAAAATCTGGCATCGTTTAAGAAACCTGCCTAGCTATCAAAAATATCGGGAAAAATGACAAATCTGTCCAGTCAGTCTTGAAGTTTGAAATGAGCAGCTGCCGCTTTGTCATCATCATCACCATTATCAACTTTACTACCAACACCGTCATAGTAATCAAGCTTAACAATATCAACCAAATTCTCGTTACCACCAGCGGAAACGTTACGGTAAGTAAATACTTGTTCGTCATTTTCCCACAATCACCCTGAGCTCTATGGATCAGGTGTTTCCTATTAAACAGAACGTACTTCGGACCCTTTGTTAGACCTTAGTGGCTTGGCCACTCGTCCCACCGGACGTATTCAGTTACCGGCAGCTGGGACTTAGGTTCATGATTTTCTAATATGAGGCGACAGTACAGCTTTTAAAAAAAACGCAAAAGTTGTTAAAATTTGAATGGAATAAATCCTAAAGAATTCTAGTACCTAAAAGAAAGTGTATTTCGTACCTTTTATATTGAATTGAATTGTATTTTTTTTTTTTGTTTATAATAAACCAAAATAAATAATATGACAATTATAACTTAATATATTGCGTATCAAGATCGTGCTTCCAATAATCACCAAGCCAAGGAGATCTTATCTATTAGCCAAGTTTTTGATGATCATATAAGATAAAAGTGGACTATCGATTCCAATTACCATTTCCTTTCACCTGTACTCGAACTAGTCTTCATCCATTTCTAAACTGAGTTAATTTTGCATAACATGCATGAAAAAGTTGTATGTACACAGAAAACTGCATTCAACTTTAGCTGCAGCGTCAATAGCAATACAATCTATAATCCTTAGACGATTACTTCGCAAGACAATTAAACGTGTTCAAACAATCCTGTTGTCATCTGCTCTCTGCTATTTTTAACCCGACGAGCTTGTCAGTCTAGTCGTCTCATTTCAAAGGTTTGTTGGTCAACCAGTTGCAGTGTCCTACTCTCGTTTCATTACTCAACTCGGGTTTAGCAATGATAGAACGATATTTGCACGCTTCAAATCTGATCGCACATTAATGGATAGGGTCTTTGCAATTTATAAACTTCATAACAATGCACAACAGACATTGCACAGGAAACAACTAGAAAAAATTGTAACTTCTAGAACAAGTCTTTTACTTTACATAAATATCTCTGACAAGGTACAAATCCAATATTACACTGCAAGACTAATTTAGATCATTAAGCTTTATAAGCTAGCTACTTATTGTAATCTATTACCGATCGTCAATTCATCTGTACTGCGACCGTGGTAAAAGAAGTTCTTTCCAGAACTGAATGCACGAACGACCTAGGCCGGTCGATGCTCCCGTTACAGCTCAAGTAAATAACATCGGTACTCCAAAAATACAACGCCCGTGTACACGCTTATAGTCTTTGTTATGAGTATGAGTAATAGGTATTTAATCATAGGTAGTGTAACTTTAATTTGAATTGCCAACATTTCATTAATGCTTTTGGAAGCTTTGATCTCCATCAAACACAAAGGTCGATTCGACGATAATGTTCACTAAACTAGAATCGCCTATTTTCGCATTAATCTGTGAGATGTTACACCTACGGCGTATTGCGCCGAAAATAGTAACAAAACAAATGGCGACGAAGATGACCTACTTTTGGAGAATGGATGATAGTCTTTTTTTAGTAACGGCCAAAATATTAATCATAAATACAAAGTTATTGCAGATTCTTAAATAGAAACAATAATCAATTTCAGGAGAAATACATTGTTGTTTATCAACGATGAAAAAACCTTTTGCATACGACGCGAACACGTAACCAGAGTTATCCATAACGTAATACTAGGTTGCCATACGAACTTTATTTCCATGAAACTTCACAAGACTTATTTTGGGAATTGGCAAAAACAATACAAATAAACGAGCCAAACATTTTCCTAAAACCAATACGTCTATAAACAAGTTTGAAAACATTAAGAAATTCTACAGTGAAGTGTAGTATGCAATCTTAAACGTCCTTTGGTGCATTGAACTTGTAAACTTCGAGGCGCGTCAATGTATGCGAGTTTCTGATGGTATGATTTGTTTTCAAAATACATTTATTATTAGACGCTAACGCAAAATACTCAGGTCAAGTTCATTTGCCGGCGGACAAAGACGTAATTACGATCGACACAGTGCAAAAGTCTGCAGATGATCATACTGAAGACATAATTTGAGACAGACACAATAAAAACGTGGCTTGGAAAACCAATGGCACACAAATAGATATTTGGGTCACAATATCAATTTTGCAATTGATTTAATACTTCCAACAATTTTATTGATGTAGCAAATAAAATTGAAATTACTGTTATAGAACCACAGAAGGATATAAACAATGGCCTAGATTTGATACGTATTCGCAATTTTTGCTGATCGATAGATGGTGCTAATAAGCATTTAACGCAAGGCAAAATCATGATTAAAAAGAAAGAAAATATTTCAAATAAATCAGATTAACCAATACGAATAAGACGAACTGTCACAACATTTTAGGAAAAGCAATTACGAAGCGTATTGGCTTGTAAACAAAATATTGTAACGAAAAATAATG